GCAGTGCTGTGTGGTTCCCTGCGCTAGGGAGCAGAAGCCAGCATGCTGCCAGAATGCCAGCTGGGCCTTGCAGTGCACAAAGGCAGTGTTGGGGATGGTCCATCATTAGCACCACGCAAAAGTGAGCCTCTTCAGTCCTCTGTAATGAAGTATGGAAGAATGCATTTGAAGTATTACTTCTGAGCACGTGCAGTGCTGTAGGATGTCAAGTAACCATGGTGAAAGCATTGAGGAGGCTGACAGTGGTAGCTGATGGCAGCAGTGTGGCAGAAGTCCGTGTAAAAGTGGTGGTGCTCAGAGCTGAGTGCATTCCTGAGAAAGGCACTCTTGACTTTATGGCATTTTCTTTCACCTGGTGATATGTAGAAAGTCAGTGGAGAAAGGAACCAGAACAAAAATACCCTACTTAAAGGGCAGCTGCATTTAGATATCTACAGCATGCCAGATTGTTATGTGAGAACCGAGCACTCCATGACCTGTAGGATGCAATGTCTTCTGAGATATTATTGGAGGACTATTATTGGAAGACTTTGTGGACAGAGACATGTTTAGCTCACACTGCATCATCTACACTGCCTAAAGAAGTTATGCTGCATTAAGAAAACCATGCTGAGAGCACAGTTTCCCATCAAAAAGAATTATTTGGCAGACTGCCTTGGGGTCAAACTATAAAGCAGATTACAGGACAAGTACAAGGGGCGAGACAAAAATGCTTAAGGCATGGTTTATTACTTCTCAAAATAGAAATTTAAGAAAGGGTTAGGTAAATTTCTCACTAGAAATGCCTGTTAGTTTTGCTGGAATCCTTAGTGACTAATTCAGACATAGACATCTGTGCTGCAAGTGTCTATAACTGTATGGATAAAGTTCATGATCAGCATGTCCTGTAAAGCTATAGCTACGTTGTCTTTGATTTTTACTCAACAGATTGCAACACCTTACATGTGCTATATGAATTGCAAAGTTTGCCTACACACTGGATCATACAGAAGCTTTCACACTCTCCCTTTGTGGAAATGTAATCAACTCATTAATGGTGGGATCGTGAATGAGTCCAATGAGAAGGCAGCATCAACAGTGAAAGTTTGACTATAAACTGAAATCATGAATTACCATGGTTGAATCTGAACCAGTAGTCCAGTAATAGTTCTATGAAGTCTCAACACCTACCAGATCATTTCTAATGAATTTAAGAGATTCTTAATGATAACTTCATGGTGCATGAGTTGGTTCCTTTACACAGGTTGGTTCTTCCTTATCTTATTCCATACAGGTTTTAGTATCACTCTAGGGATTTTTTTCATAGAAGAGGACTTCTTGAAGGTTATCACTTGTACATTATGCTGTTACATAACGTACAGTATGGATTTTTTTCCTAAGAAAATTGCATGAACAAAACAAGGAACAAATAAACTTTCATTTATTTATTTCAAAATACATGTATATTTTTTAATATGTATTTGCTGACCAACTTCCACATGGAGCTTTTGATCTCCTTGTTACACAGCGTGTAGATCATGGGATTAGTCAAGGGGAAGACAACCGTATGGAAAAGAGCAACAACCTTTTCCATTAGGACAGCCTCAAAGGGTGGGACATAGATACAGACAGCTGGGCCAAATGTGACAAAAACTACGATGATGTGGGAAATGCAGGTGAAGGTTATTTTATTCCTTGTTTTGGACTGTCTGGAGCTTCAGCAAGAGGACTGTGGAGGAGATGAGGAGAAGTGCAAAGCGCATGACAATGACAACTCCATTGTTGAGGAACATCAGAAGTTCCACTGTGTGTTAGCACAGGCCAAGTTAGCCAGCTGACGCACATCACAAAGATGTCCAGGACGTTGGGTCCACAGAAGGGGAGTTTGATGGTGAGAGCAAACAGAATGATGCCATGAATGAAGCCACCACCCCACGAAGCTCCAACCAGGGCACAGCATGCAGTTCTGTTCACAAGCCTGTTGTAGTGAAGAGGTTTGCAAACAGCAACGTAACGGTCATGGGCCACGGCCAAGAGCAGGAAAGCTTCTGCTGCTCCCAGGAAGTCAAGAAACAAAAGTTGGGTCATGCAGGCATTGTAGGAGATGGTCTTGGGATTTGAGAAAAAGTCAGCCAGCATTTTGGGTGGGGTCACAGAACAGTAGCAGATGTCCCTGAATGCCAGATTAGCCGGGAAAAAATGCATGGGTGATCCAGCTGGGAATCCTGAATTGTGAGAATGATAAGGATGTTGCCTGGGAGAATTATCATGTAGAACAGCAGGAAGAAGAAGAGGTTTGACTGGACTTTGTGGTATTGAGACAATCCTAGCGGAATAAACTCTCTAACTACCATATACTTTTCATGCTCCGTTTTGACTCTTGCAAGCCCTGAGAAGCAGACAGCAATAAACACACTAATGCCAATATGTTGCAGTATTTAAGCAACTTGGGCTATGCTTAGGCTACTGAAAATGCACATCCTGTGACTGTTACCTGGTTTTATGGGTCTCTTCACAGTGAATTTCTTGAAAACTAGTCATTCAGATTCCCACTGACTTGAGAATTATACTGGAATTTTGAACAGAAAGTAAACATGTCGTCAGACATTCTCCCTAACAACTGGCACCTGGATTAAATTTAAGTTGTAAAGAATCAGTCCAGTCTCCTGTAGTAGGCTAATCTTTGTGGTTTACAGTGTAACTATCTTGTTCTGAAATAGTGAAACGTACAGCCTCTCCAAATGAGCAAAGTAGACCCTTCCAAGCTACAGTGCATTTCCTTCTAATGCAGACAGCCAAACAAAGCTAGATGAATTGCAGTCTAAAGTTGGTAAAAACCTAAAATCACATCCACTGATTATAAAAGGAAACTAATTACAGACCAGTCACGTCTGAAGGAAGATTGCAATTGAACAATTTAAAATCCTTGTAGTTAATGATGTCAGTATAGACATCCCAAGGAATGGCTAATTTCATCCCAGATTTTCTCTGGAGTGCATCAGTTGAAGTATATTCAAAAATAACCTGCTTTCTCCAGTTGTCTTCTGAGGGACATAAACGTGCCTAGATCATATGCAGACTTTGATTTTTCCCCAAAGAAATCCCACAGCAGTGTCTAAGTTTCCAATGAAGTCATCAGAACACTGGAAACAGGAAAAAAAAAATCAATTATTTAAATATCTCAACAAAATTAACCAAGAATCAACAATACGACAGCCATATAATACAAATTAGTATTTCTCACGGAGCACATCAACTAATTTCATTTTCATACATTTTGAATTAAACTGGATTTTGATTAATCACTCATTAAGAAAACCATTTTTAGAAAGTAAAATTTATTTTTAAAGTCTTTCTATTGATCTAAATCCTTTCATTCATCCCAATTCTTTTGCTTCTTTTGAGGCAGGAGAAAGTAACATGAGTTTTTACTTTGTTTACTTCAACATCTTTCTTCCATTTTGCTGCAAATATGTTAACTTTGTATGAATGTCTGCTTGTTACTGCATTAGGAGCCTGGCCAGCAATGTTGAACTAGAGAATAGAACATTCTATGGTTCTATGATTCTAGCTGGTGTAATATTCTTTCTAATCACTCTCAGTGGTTGCCCCTTGGAGTTGGGCAGCCATTGGGATGGAGGTGTGTTTTGGCATTTATCCTGATTATAATAAGAAAGATTTTCCCACAGAAATGTCAGTAAGTCACTTCCTGTACTTACTGCACACCAGGTGCAATGTAGAGGTCCCCTGCAACCAATAATTTATGCCTCTGATATGCAGATGAGCTCCCAAACTCTGAGTTTGAGGGGATTCAATTACACACCTTTTTCTTCAGGAGGTTCCATGGTTGTTGTCCTCACAGTGATGCTTCTGAATCGGTATGTGGCTTTCCATATATCTTTGCAGTACCCAAACATCTTCAATCACAGCAATTACAGCTCCAGCTGGTTGCAGCAGTGTGGGTAGGGGCACTGCTCATTCTAATGTGCAGGTAGAACTGTCATTCATTTGTCATCCCATGGATCAAATTTCCCAGACAATTTTTACTGTGATGTCACACGGGTGATCAAACTGGCCAGTATGGATATTCATGCAGCTGAATTGCTTGTGGAGTCCAAGAATGGTCTGCTAACAGTCCTCAACTCATTGCCCTGATTGTGTTGTAAGCTGTCACCTTGACCAAAATCAAGGCATGTATCATAGAGAGGATGCACAAAGCCTTTCTCACATATGGAGCCCAGGTCACAGAGGTGAGCATCCATTTTGCACCTGGCATCTTTCTCTGCACTGCTGTTCAAAAAACTTGTGGTCAAAAAGCCATGTTGTCTCTGAACAGCCACCCCCGGTGCCACATTCCATCATCTACACACTGAGGAACACAGAGATGAAGAATTCCAAAAGAGATTTCTCAGTAACATCTTTTTCAAAACGAGCAATTGAAAGCTCTCACTCCTCTGTTACATAGCTGTTCTCTGTTACAGAGAAATATAAAAACAAAATACTGTAAACTTAATAGTTGCCTGTAGGGGACAAATAGAATGAAATTTGAAACAACATAGAGGTCAGATAACAATGCTGCCTCTCAAAGTAATAACAGCTTTGGAAACAAAACAGCTGCTGACTAAACAATGAACCTGCATTTAAAAGAAAATTGACAATAACAAAACCAATAAAAGCATCCCTTGCTCATTTTAGTAGTTCACTTCACTGTGGGTTCAGTTAATGTCTGAGTTTCTAATTTTCAGTAATTCTACAGAATTTATGTATGGATGTTTCAGTTTTGGTTGTGGGTTTTGTTGTTTTTATTTTAGTTTATGCAAATATATTCCAACAAAGAGGCGATCAAGGTTTGGTGGAGATTTATTGAGATATCAGGATATTGTGTTAAGCATCCAGATGCTTAACCTAGGCAGCCTATGTGTCGGGGTTAAGCTGACAGGCAGCTCAGCACCACACTACTACCTGTGCATTCCACAGTAGGACGGGGGAGAGAGTAGGGAAAGAAAAGCAAAACTTGTGGGTAGAGATAAAGAGAGTTTATTAGGAAAATAAAAATGGAGGGGGAAAAAAAGAACACACAAAACAAGTGACACACAAGGCAATCTCTCAGTACCAGCAGACAGAAGCCCAGCCAGTCCCCAAGAGCTGCAGTCTCCCGGCCAACTTCCCCCCGTTTTGTTGTTCTGCAGGACATCACCTAGTGCAGAATTTCTTTCAGTTTAGCTCATCTGTCCTGGTTCTGCCCCCTTCCACCTTCTTGAGCACCCTGTCTTCTCTCCATCAGAGCAGTCTGAGAAGCCGAAATGTTGTCTTGGTTCCCTTGTCATATATCAGCCTTAGTTTTCACCAGGTGAAGGTTAAGTTTCCTAGTAGTCCAAGTAGCCTGGGAAAACCTGTCTTTGGTCTTCTGGCAGCCTTTGTGTTTTTCAGAGGTGTCACTAGAAGGAATGGCTTCAGCAAAATTTTTCTCAAGAAAGGAACTCTTGGGACCCAAGCACAGATGTGCAGAACCTTCTCTTAACTTTAATAATGGGTTGTGGGTGATGTTTTCCAAAGCGCTGCCTGGCTCCAAAGTGAACAGTGAACAAACCAACCATAAACACCTCTAAGAGGGAAGCAGATGACCACAGCACAGATTGAATAGCAACTGTTAGTAAATGTTAGTAAAACTGTTAAAGAAATGTTCACAAAAGAGAGTAAATGCTTTCTGCATCTACAGGAATTTACTACAAGGTTTCCACTTATTAATCCAAAGAGTCTTTGCTAATTACAGGTATTAAATGCAGTCAGCTTTACTTTTTCTTTGTTTGTTAGCTTTGTTTTGTTGTTATTGTTGAAAATCTTTTTAGCTCTCCTGGTTTTCTGAATTGAAATATAAATAATAATGATTTCCAGAGAGAAAGAAATGACAGAGAAACATTCAGTGGAATTTACATCACAGAGTCATGGTACTTTAGATCTGAAAGAAAGGATGAGAGATGCAAAATACTAATTATTCTGTCTCAAGTCCCAAGATACCTTCCTGGTGACTGTGCTGCATGAAATGCTTATGTCTTTCTGGAAGTAAGGAATGAGCATCAGTTCCTCAGCGTTGTTAGAGCACCTCTGCTATGAGGAAAGGAGCTGGGCTTGCTCAGCCTGGAGAAAAGAAGGCTGAGGGGAGGCTGGATTCTTTCAGTGCATACAGAGAGCTTACAAACAAGATAAGGACCAAGTTTTCACACAGTAAAATAATATTTCTTAAGTGACAGGGTCAGCTGAATCTCCTGCAATGAAAGCAAGACCTTCAGACCCAAGTGTCCAAATAAGCTGTGGCATGGGGGTGGATTTGACTGGTTTTAGTGAGCTAGCAGCCTTACACAGTGACCTATGCCAGAAATAGCATTTTTAAGCTCCACATTCATGTACAAGAAAAGGTTTATTTCTTCCTTGGGTCAGCTATAGTTTTAATTAGTACTCCTTTCACTTCTTTATTCCTCAGGCTGTAAATCAGGGGATTTAGTGCTGGAATTATAGCTGTGTATATGAGCGAAAAAAATTTCTTAACGTCTTGAGAGTAATTGACTTTGGGCCGTAAGTAAATCAAGCTCCCACTGCCATAATAAAGAGTTACAACAATAAGATGTGAAGAACAGGTGGAGAAGGTCTTGCACCTGCCCTCTGCAGAGGAAATCTTCAGGATGTTGGAGATGATGCAGGCATAGGACACCAGGATGAGACAAAACGGTGCAAAGATGACCAGCACAGCGGTGGTAAGTGTCTGCTTTTCATACAAGGAGGTGTCAGTGCAGGAGAGCATAACGAGTGGAGGAATGTCACAGAAAAAGTAGTTGATCTTGTTGGGTCCGCAGAACCGCAAGGTGAACACCCAAGCTGTCTGCACCACAGACACTACGTTACCACTGCAGCACGACAGCAGGACTAGGGAAAGCCTGGCTTTGTTGTTCATGATGATGGCATATCTAAGGGGGTTGCATATGGCCACATAGCGGTCATAGGCCATAGCTGCCAAAACATAGCATTCGGTGGCCCCCAAGAAAATGACAAAGTAGAGCTGTGTGGCACAGCCCATGTAGGAAATTCTCCTGCCCTCTGGCAGAAAGCTTACCAAGATCTTGGGAACGACAGTGGATGCTGTGGAAATATCCAGGAAGGACAGGACCCGGAGGAAGAAGTACATGGGCATGTGCAGGGTGGGATGTGCTGTGACCAGGAAGATGAGGAGGTTCCCGGTGAGGGTGAAGGTATAAATCAGACAGAAAGAGAAGAACAGCCAGTTGTCCTGCTCTGGGTGGCTGGACAATCCAGAGAGGACAAATTCTGTCAGAAAAGTATGGTTTTGTGGTTCTGGTCCTTCTGCTGGCTTCATGTGGGAGGAATCAAAAGGATGGAGCACCAGAGGGCTGGTCGGACCAGAGCACTTCAACACAGCTGGCAACCAAAACACCTACAGTCCAAAGAAAGCAAGAGAATTTTACTACACTGGGGAGAAGTTCAAAAATGCCTGCTTGCAGTCTGCAATGATCTAATTTTCCCTGCTGAGAGGACTGGTAGTATGAACAGTCTTCTTCTAAGACATTTGTTTATTGGTTTTTAAAAACTCATATGCAAAAGTGAAGGAATCCCAAACTCTAGGATGCCTTGGCTCACATTCACAGCCTTCCCCAACTGCCAGTGGGACACAGAGACTTCAAAAAGACAAACCGCAGGGAATGCGGTTGCCAAACAGAGAATGCCAAACAGAACAAAATTAATGCACAACAAAGCAAAGCCTGATAACCTTTGCCTATTGTCTGTTATAGGATAATTAGGGAGAAAATATAAAGAGAGAAAACTAGTAAAGTATAAAGGGTGAAGCTCACTTCTGTCTGCTTAATCAGTCACACTGGCTCATTACCTTGAGAAGTGCCTCAGTATGTGCAACGCAGATGGATTATTCATGCAGCACTGTGGCACTCATGGTAGGTTGATGTTTTGTTATTGCCCTCAGTGGGAAACTGATGCACAAAGAGATAGAAGAAATCCAGAGGAGAAAATGGTCATTAATTCTGTGTTCTCCAGGTTCAAGCTCTGTTACCTACAGGGAGAACCCTCCACCAGAATGCACTAGTGAATCTCAAGGCACAAAATGTTCTTCGGTAGCAGAAAGGTATCCTTATATCATGGAAATGTGGTAGGAAAGTACGATTTCCTCATACACACAGGGATCCAGTACACAAACCACAGCACATACAGGACAAATCATCAAAGCAAGAGCAATGCACACAATTCTATTGTAAGCTAATCGTTTGTTCTACTTACTTAATCCTAGGCTCTCACATTCAATACCTTTTCTTGCAGTATTCTGAACGCTCTTGGGAAAGGACTTCAGGATATGTGCATTTCTTTTCTCCTTGATGTGAAAACAAACAAAAAAAAAAAAAAGAAAGAAAAAAGAAAAAACAAAATTTAAAAAAGTGATTGCACAGCGCAAAGGCTTCGAGTTGCTTGTTAATTGTTTCCACTTACCTGAGATCTCTTTTGCAGAGGTGTTGCAGTCAGTTCCATTAATAGACTCTTCTTGAGTGCACTGGTTTTTCTGTTCTCACGTTAGAAATTTCCACTGGAGAGACAGTAGCACACCTGGTGATGTGGCAAATCAGACCACAGATATTCCAGGTTTTTTCACTGATATGCAGTCAGTTAATCAGTAGGGCTTCAGCTTCTCTACTCTGTTGGCTTCTATTACTTGACACCAATTTTTAGCCACCAAGTTTTCTGACATGAACGGGGAAGCAAGTAAGTGAGAGATGGAGCCATCGATGATTTTAGGCTTCCAAAGAAGAAACAAAAACAAAAACAAAAACATCTGGCACTTTCAGGATAGTAAATATCCTTCAAATTCAAAAAGAACTCTTGTCTAACCATACACTGAAAAGTGCTATTTCCATGTGGATCTTGATGGATCTTCTGATCACTTTTCTTATTATCATTGAGATGGAGAAGGAGTATTACAAGAAGAGTGAATGGAAAACATCATACATATATACATATACCATTCATATCAATCAGTTGAGCCTTGTTCCTTGATCTCATGTAAAGACACAGGAGGCAATATTTCAGCCTCTCTATGTGGATAAAAATATGTGCCACTGAAGCACTGCTTTAAACAGACTTTAAACAGATTTGGAGCTCCTGCTATTAGGTAGGGATATGTTAAAAGCAAATAAAGAAACAACAACAACCAAAAAAACACTACCTGATAAGTTTTGAATACATCTGCTTTCACTTTAAGAATAATGATCTTTGATTTCCTCAGACAGTCAGTGCCTCACTGATACCTGAAGCTTCTATAAGAAAATCAGATCAATTCTTGTGACAAAGCAGTTGATCGATGTTGATGGGCACTTCTATGAAGTGCAAGTGAAAGATCTTGATCTATTTTCCCTGGAAATAAGATGAATCTCATGCTCCTATGGGGCCCATCAGATGGAGACGTGGATCAACAGTGTTCTAATGAGATGGGAATTCTCTGGTTCCTTTCATCAGAGTAGATGTGACACAAATAGAAGGCTTTTCCCACATTTGTTTTTTCTTCTAAGCTCCAGAAGTAAACAAGAGCTGGAAGTTAACCTGCTTTGTCTCTTACTTTCCTGTTCTTTGCTCTTCAGATCATCTGTGGCAACCCAAATCCCAGAACTGCTTTTGTTCTGACTGCAGGGACCTTAATGATTTGTTGCCTCCAGTACCATTCCTCTGGGTTTTTACATGAGGCTGATCAGTTTGCTGGGGCAGTCCTAAAATGCACATCTGTGTGTGACCAAGGGATCTAAAATATTCTCTTTCAGTGAGGAGATTCACGGACTCCTGTGTATGATTTTATTTATCTTCGATAAGATAAAAGTTCATCAGGGAAAGCCATAAGCATCATATAGCAGAAAGTTCCAGGCCCCATAGACATCCATATGTCGTTCCACGAGGAAACTCACAAGTACTGTATGAAGATAATGTAACAGAGCAGCAATAATAAACCTCTCAGACACGCTTGTGTTTGAGGCATTTAATGTAAATGCAGAATAAATGATTCCACATATCCAAAGATATATATATTAACAGTGGGCAAACACATTAATCTTTAAATAAAATACCATAATAATAATTTAAAAAAAAAAACAATATAATGACTATCTAAACTTAGGGAAAATAATGCTGAGTTGAATCCCATTTACAGGTACAAATTAAAACGTTCATATTCAGGTGTTTGCTCCCGTTGTTCATTCTCTGCCATATGCCACCTGGACTCCCCGTGCTGCCATAGAAGAGCAAAGTTTCCAGGTGATTCTCTGTTGTCAGAGTTAACTAGTTCAGTCTGTGTCCGTGACAGGGGGCAGCAGGCCCCTGCCCTCCCCCCCCACCCTAGCCCCACAAAATGGGAAGGAAGGAAGGGAGAAAAAAACAGCAGCAACAGAGGAAAACTGATTTTACTAACTATGATATCGGAATGCAAGGTAACACAATGTAATACAATCTAATTGTAATTGAGACTAATAAATAAGATAGGAGAGAGAGAGTTCCTGAGGCCGAGTCAAACCTGAAAAGCTTGGAACGGCTGGGAAAGCACCTCCAGCACCCACTGCCAGGCAGTAAGAGAGCGCCCACCTGAAGGGCCAGATCCCATGGCTTCCGTGCTGTACAGGGATGGTACCTGGAATTGGAGCACTAACACCTTAATGCCTGTACACTACATGATGTTTTGATGTGGAACACCGAAAACCAAAAAAACATAAAGCCATGACATTTGTCATATCTCAGTGTGTGTGCCCATGGTGCCTTGAAGCAATCTGAATTGCACGGCTGGGCTCAGGGAACTCCACCTTACCCTAAAAGCTTTCCTTTTAGGGAAAGCTTCATTCAGACAGTTCACTTCTTCACGGAAGTTTGATAGTGCTGATGATGCCCGAGGAAACTCCAGTTGTTATTACTCCTTAGTGCCATTTGACTTGTTTCTCAGCAACATTGGCAGAACGTTCAGAGTTTTTTATAGGACTAGTCTGCCTGCACACAGAGGTCCAGATGGGATTCTGAAGTTTCATTCAAGTTTGCCCTGATCTGAAAAGAAAGTCTGCCCTTGCTTGCAAACATATCTGCTAAGGTCAGCAATCTAGCTCCTAAGAGGTTTTCTATCACAGTTTTGCTGATGTTTCTTACTAGTTGGGTCATATGCTTGATATGATAATCCATGCTGTAAAGGAATTCAGGGGATCTTTTAGGACAACCTCTTACCCAATTCAGAGTCAGTTATGAGGTCTGACCAGGTTGCTTAGGGCTTTATCTAGGAGTATCTTGAAAATCTCCAGGGATGTAGACTACAACTGTTCAGTGCCTGACTTCCAATGCAGTGCGTGGAACCTCTTTTTTCATCAAATCGTAGAACAGCTTCAGTTGGAAGACACGTTGTATGGGAGCTGCTGAGTCACAGCCTGAACCCCTGATTGATCACCTGAGGTGAGCACTGAGTCAGCCAGGGGAGCACAGGTGAAGGCAATTCTCCTGTGCTGCTGGAAGGGGTGCAGCCTGGCTGCACTTCTCCTACACCCATTTAAGAGCTGACTGCCAGTAGGGAAGGATTGCTTCTGGAGATCCACTCTGCTGGAGTTTTATAAGCAAGCCCAGGATATGGGTAAGTGTCCTATCTATTCTCTTTTTGTTATTATGACCTGCTTTGCCTACCTCTTTTGTTTATTTCATAATTATAATATTCATTGATTATACAGATGTCAAAGTTCATCAACTTGCCACTTAATAAAGCAGGTTGCCTTGGGCTCTATCCAACCTAATCTTGATCGCTTTCAGGAATGAGGTGTCTATAGCTTCTCTGGAAAACTTGTTTCAGTGCCTCACTACACTCTTTTCAACTTTTGTCTGCTATCTCATTCTCCTGCTATGTACTACTGTGAGGTTGGAAGGGATCTCTGGAGGTTGCTTGGTCCACTCTCTCTGCTCAAGCAGGGACACTTGGAGCAGGTTGTCCAACAGCATGTCCAGGTGACTTCTGAAGATCACCCAGGAAAGAGATTCCCCATCTCTGGGCAACCAGTCCCAGAGCTCCATCTCTTGCATAGTAAAGAACTGTTTCCTGATGTTTAGATGGAACCTCTTGTGTTCCAGTTTCTGCCCATTCCCTCTTGTCCTGGCGCTGGCACTACTGAAAACAGCCTGGCTCTGTCTTCTTTGCATTCTCACTTCAGGTACTATTAGACATTGACAAGATCCTCCTTGAGCCTCCTCTTCTCCAGGCTAAATAATCCCAACTCTCTGTCCTCATAGAAGGGGTGCTCCAATCCCAAGATCACCTCCACAGCCCTACGCTGAAGTCATTCAAGTATGTCCATATTGCTCTTGTACTGAAAGGTTCAGAACAAGATGCAGTACTCCAGCTGTGTCCTTACTGGTGCTGAGTAGAGAAGAATCCCCTTTCTTGAAATGCTGGCAATATTTTGCCTAACGCAGCCAAGACTGTCATTAGTTTTCTAAGTGGTGAGGGACCATGCTGACTCCTGTTCAGCTTGGTGTCCACCAGAACTTTTCTGCAGTGCTGATTTCCAGCTGAGTGGCCCCATCATGCACTTGTGCCTGGGGTTGTTCATTGCCAGCTTCAGGACTTTGCACTTCTTGTTGAACTTGTCACGTACTTGTCAGCCTACCCTTCTAGCCTGTCAGGGTTCCTCTGAATGGCTACGCAGCCCCCTGGTGAGTCAGGTCAGCCACTCTCCACACAGTTTTGTGTAATCTGTGAATCTTCTGAAGGTGTGCTCTACTCCGATGTCCAGATCCTGTACTGACCCCTGGGCTACTCCACTCATTACTGGTCTTCAATCTGACTTTGCAGCACTGATCACAGACCTCTGGGTCTGGCCATACAGTCAGTTTTTGACCCAAATAATCTGCTCATCCGGTCCATCCCTCCAAAAACTCATTGTTTTATTCTCCATAAACTCTCCTTCCTGGAGATTTGGTAACTACTGCCCACATTCCCAAAGCATTTATACTCCTCACAGGGATCAGCAAAACTATCTGCTTCACCAGCTCCATTCTACAGATTTGTGTTATTTTCTGCCTGAGCTGCAGTGAATATTTCATGCAGTCTGTCAGAGTTTGACTGCTATTTAGCTGCATGCTTCCCACTGCACTAAGCATTTGCATGAGCAGCATTCTCTCTACTCAGCTAGCCCTTTGCTGATGGGTTTGTGGTTTTCCAGCCATTCCTCTTCCAGTCATTCTGGTTAGCACTTACTTTCTTTGGCTGTAATTTCAGTCACGTTTTTTGTGGCATTGCTTCTTGGACTACTCTTTCCTTCAATTCCACCTCTATGGTTGACATGACAGCTTTCATCACCTCTATTTTTGTTATTCTTGGATCATGCTCATTTTCCCTTATTGCCTACGCTTACAACTTACAAAGGAAGGCATTTGCCTTACCAGTGCAGCCACCGTGTCTTAAAGGTCTCTGTGTAAGACAGTTGTCTGCACTGTTGCGGTAAATGGAGTAGGCTGACTTCTAGCTCATAGAGTAGATGGCTAGAGAGTCCCTCACTGGGGACCTCCTCATCTTCCTGGTCACAGCACATCCCACCCTGCACATGCCCATATACTTCTTCCTCCGGGTCCTGTCCTTCCTGGATATTTCCACAGTATCCACTGTCGTTCCCAAGATCTTGGTAAGCTTCCTGCCAGAGGGCAGGAGAATTTCCTACATGGGCTGTGCCACACAGCTCTACTTTGTCATTTTCTTGGGGGCCACCGAATGCTATGTTTTGGCAGCTATGGCCTATGACCGCTATGTGGCCATATGCAACCCCCTTAGATATGCCATCATCATGAACAACAAAGCCAGGCTTTCCCTAGTCCTGCTGTCGTGCTGCAGTGGTAAGGTAGTGTATTTTTATCTTTTACCTTGACTGTTTTTAATTGCCCTGATAAGCTTTTAAACAAATAGTAAACTGGATGTATCTCAGAGTGTACTTAGTAACTTTGTGCTTCATCTGTCCACTTTTTTGTGTATATGAGCTACTAATAAGTAACTCAGCATTCCTGATACATCACCTTGTAGCACTCTGGGGATGGAGGCTTTTTCCTTTTGTGAATTTTTAACCTTGCTGCATGGAAGACATATACATTATTTCTTTGAGAAAGATACTTTCTCCACTCTGACCTACAACATCTTCTAACAGATGAGCATCTCATTATTTGACAGGGGCGGAAAGGCAAGAGGAAAAACTACATTCTAGTCTTTCTTTCCAAGGAAAGAAGCAAACCTATAAACAGGCAAACAAAAACAAAGGCATTCTTATACAGTAAAGTCATTGCAGCAGAGACTACAGTTGTCTTGGACAGATACCTCATCAGCCAGGAGATAATGCCACTCTTTCACTAGTTCCTTTTGCCACAAATAACAGTTTTTGGCAAAGTGACAGAAAGCACTTACCTGTAAGAGATGCCAGGACACAGGAATATTCATTTAGGTAGAGGGAGGAAAATTGCTCTCTTTCTCTGTGAGAACCCAATCTCCTGCACAGCAAGTGAATGCCATTTCACCTGGTACTTGAGAGCAGGTTGGTCAGATTTCCCAGCATCCTTCTGCCTCATATTTTCATCCAGCACACAGACACAACTTGAAGCAAACTCATCATTCTGTCTTCCAAGAGTGGGAAGGAACAATACGTGTTGTTTGGTGGCTTTACCTCAATAGAAATAAAATATCACAATGAGCACTGAAATACCTCTCTTGGGATTCATTTTCACTGAACTTGCTTGCTGCTTCCTAGGAACAAATAGTAGAAACAAATACGATTGCAAATGTATGAACTGCCTTCTTTAGAAGTAGAGATCCTGCTGAGCCCTTGGTCCTGGCTAAGAATTCTAAAAGCCAGAGCTTCCCACATTTGTGAGAAGACATCACAGTCACTGTCATGGCAGCTGCCAGAAATTCCAAGTAGGAGAGAATTTGACAGGCTTCTTCTCAAATGGGTTCCATCTTTGAATTGTTATCTTACATCTTATCCTCTTGCTCCACCACTTTTGTTTTTTTTCCCCATTACCTCTCATCCTGTCATGGGGTGTGAATGAGAAGAGTCTGGCTCCATCTGTTTGGACTCATTTCCTTTCCTCCTTTATCATTTAGGTGAGTGCACTCAGAATATTCTAGTTAATCCTGATTGTGAGTGAGCTGTTGGCATCTACACATACATCATGCACTGCACCACAAATCCAGCAGCAGAACTTCTGTATATTGCATCCAAGGCACAAGGCAGCTCTCTGTGGTAAGTCACTTAGTTAGCTAAAATACAGGTTTATCTTTCTTGTCTCTTTGGAAGACACCAGGAGGAGTTTCCAGGCCACCAGATGTAGACACACAGACTTCCTTCAGACTTGCAGTCCCTGTAGCTGGCTGTGACTGGAATGCTGCCAGGGTCTTCTCTGAGCCACCAGATGCTGCAATAAAAAGAAAGCACTGTGAAAGAATATCTTAAAATACAGCGACTGCTGAGACTCCGATGGAAACACATTCTCCAGCCCTCCACCCATCTCTGCAGGAAGGCAGGGTAGCAGCGCTGCTTCCCAGCCCTACGTCCCCAAACGGTGTTTGGCTGCATTCCTTCCCAGGCGCTGCAGCATGCAGCTCCATCTCTGCCCTCAGCTTCCTGCAGAGGTCAGCCCTCCTCCTCTGTGTTACAGCAGGGAGGATTCTGCTCCAGAGCCGCTCCTGTGCCCATCTGCTCGCTGCTCCCGCTGCAGGCTGCATTCTCTGGTGAATTCCTCTTTGCATCCATCCTTCCAGCCCTGCGCTGTTTCCATGTGCATGATCCTTTATCTGTGCTTGCTGCACCCCAGCAAAAGGCTTACTGGCTTCTGTCTGTCTGCCTCTGTCTGTCTGTGCTGCCGTGTCAAGGCAGCCCGGCCAGGCCAAGGGCTACAGGAACAGTGTGATTTTACGCTTCTCTGGGCAGTGAATCTGCATGCGTGTCCTTTGCTGCTCTCAGGGCTTCTGCATGTGACTAAGGAGCAAATGTGCCCTCAGTGCAAAAATGAAACTGGTTTGTGGTGCCTGCATGTCTGGGACCTCCACAGCTGAGGACAAAGATATGCAAGTTAAGGTTCAAATTCTCCTTGAGACATATGCACAGAGATGGTGATATTCAACAGTTCAGAATTACACAGAACCAGGGTGTACAGGTGTATCTATTTTCTTAATAGATTCCTTAAAGTTGATCAATAAGGAAACATTATGCTTTGTCAGTCCCCTGCTTGTGGTAACATTCACCAGTTTATTTTTGTGTCTTGAGCCATTCAGGCACTTCCTCCTCCTTTTCCAATTCCCCAGAAGGTCCTCTGATTGAATACCTTGCAGCTGCCCCCGCAGCAAGGAGTTCAGACTGTGTCTTCCTCAGTATTCCTTTTCCATACAGGCATTTCTCACTGGGACCTGAGAACTGCAGTGTGCTGGGAGCTGCTTATCCCAGTAAGGATGCTCAAATGCTTTAGAGCATAATTTACAAATGACTTTTCCTATAGCTAGCACAGTAAAGAAATAGGGCATATAAAGAGGATGATAGAACCATAAAATTGCTGAAGGATAGCATGAAACATGGATGTTTGGATATCCTGTCATTTCCAAAATAGACACATGGTGCCAACATGTATAGCACAGGACCTATGGGAGACAGGCATCATTCTGCAGAGGCAGTCAGACTGGATTTCCTTATTTCTGTGAGGCCACTCACCTGCACTTATGGCTCTACGATGCAAAGCTATGACCACTGAGCTGAGGCTCTGAGCAGTTCAGATCAGTGATATGTACAGGGACTAGCTGTCTCTAGATGCCTGTCTTTAGGTGTTGAATTGACCTGTCAATCATGAACTTGGCAATATTTAGCATCCTCTCCCTCATGTTCTACATTTGTTTGTCAACTCCTTCAGTGCTTATCTGCCTCCTGTTTCCCTGGATGGCCATCCATGTATCCAGCTACAAATTTATTCATCTGTTCTCCTGCCCGGTTTCCTATATCTTCACGTTTTCCTGCCATTCAGACCTGGTGACACTAAATACAGCCCTCCCCAGCCAGCCAGCAGTGCCACCTTCCTCACACAAATCCATGCAGCCACCCAGACCATGCTTCATCTGTTCTGCCTGTCCAGCCCTCTGTCCATTTCATCCTGTCAGCACTGGGGCTAGTTTTGTCTGGCTGCAGCTGTCAGTGCTTAGGCCCAAGCTCTTGCCTTGTGTCTCAGCCTGTGACCCACCATTTCTGCCACTTTCCCTGTGGTCTCACATGAATTAAGCACCACCACACCCTGAAACCAAGAGATATTTTTGGCACCTGCAATTTGCATTTTACTCCTATTAATCTGCTCAAAGGCTCTTGAGAGAGGGACAAAACAGTATGTGATGGCAAGAGCCATCTTGGCCATGATGTATGTTGGTGGAAGGGGCCCACTTTTTGTCATTAGATCCTCGTAACTCCGTTTATGCTCTTTTCCACACAGAACCTGTCTTCAACCAGTCAGGATGAGAGTAAGTGGCACCCTGAGCAAGCAGAGGAGGTACGGAGGTGAGCTGGGGTCAGGAAGGTGATGTCTGAAGAGTGGGGAAGATTTTTGCTGGGAAAGTGATGTGGAAAGGAACTCTTTTCTTGAATGGCTGAGAGGGAAGCACACCTTACTATATTCTGAGAACTCGAGGACATGGCCTGTAAGCAGCCTTCACTTATTCTGAGTTGCATAGCAAAAGGAGCGTGGCTCATTTCACCCATAGTGCTGAGGGCTTTCCAGAGAAGCCATCAAGAAGAGGGAAGATGATACAGATTTTCTGTGACTGCCTTTGATGCTATGCTAAGCCCCCATGATATGGTCCCCCCTTCCTTTCCAGCAGTGCAAAATGAGTAGTACATCTGATTAAGTTAATCTCACTGGAACATTAGTCTCAAAGAAGGTGGTGGCTTAGATAGATGAGGATCTGTGGTCCCAGGGAAATATGTTGGCTGCCTTGGGAACCTTCTGTTGCTGTTTGTCAGCTCTGCATCAGCATTTCTTTGGCAGGTGTGAGCACACAGCTGTAGATCTTTGCAAGCAGACACTAGAAAATTAAATTCTCTACAGGCATTCAGGGAGTTCTACAACTGCTGTGTATTCCTCAGGCTTGTTCTCAAGAGGAACGTGGTTCTTTTCTTCCTATCCCAAAATGGAGCTTGAATCTGTGACAGTAAATGTAACCATCCAGGACTTTGTGGCTGATGTGGCATCTGAGATGTTCTTCTGCAATAAACAGCAAATCTCTAGGGAGATCATGTTCATCTTTCCTGTGGACTCTGACACTGTTGTACACACCTTCCATGCCACCATGGGGGACACTCGTGTTGAAGCAATGCTCTGGGACAAGAAGGAGGTACTCCAATGGAGTCGGGGGAGGTGGGGTGGACCTGGAGTTAAGTTTGGAGATAAGAGAATGAAATGTGTGAGACCTCAGCGACATGTTTTTCCCAATTTTTTTGTGGCAGGCACAGCAACTGTACAAAGCCACTCCAGGCATGGAGAATTTGAGATATCTGCAGGATCAGTGGGATCTTTGGGGTCCAGTGTTTGCTTGTTTCCTGGGACTGTGCCTCCTAACAGAGAGGTGGCCATCAGCCTGTGCTATGCTCAGGAGCTTCCACTGCATCCTGATGGAGCTGCCAAGTTTTGCTGGCCAAAGAAGCTATTTCCTCAACAAAAATTCATCAGTGAGTGATCCCACGAGTGTTTCCATCTGGGAGGAGCACGGTTCTCTCAAGTATCTCTCTGGGAAGGATCCCATACCTACACACACAGCACGGTTGGAGAACCTAAAAATTCTCCCTCATACGTGCCAGTCAGAAGTCCTCCAGTTATCCCTATATACCCCCAGACAGGAGATCCCTGCAGATCTGACAGATCATAGAATCGTAAAACCATGTAATAGATTGAGTCAGAAGGGACCTCAAAGATCATCTAGTTCCAACCCCCCAGCTATTTGCTGATTCTCACCCACCAGCTCAGGCTGCCCAGGGCCCCATCCCACCTGGCCTTGAGCTCTCTGGGCAACAGCGCCAGCGCCTCACCTTCCTCTGAAGAAAGAACTTAAATGAGTATTGTTACCCAGGCCATTGGGAATGATGGAACCCTGTTCCTGACCCCAACATGGTGACTCTCCCTGTCAGTATTCCAAACATTCTCCCAAATCCTTGTCTTTCCCTGTTCTTCTCTTTGCCTTGATGGGACTTCATCAGTGACCTCCACACATACCTGTCTCACCTCACTAAGACTACCTGTATTCTTCCCCTACTCGACCTCTCTAGCAATTTGTCCATGCTTCTCTCATCACTATCTGAAGAGGAGATATCAGAAGACCTGCACTTCAGAATCTGTCTGCAGTCAGCCCATGGTGTGTCACATATTGATGTTAACAGCAGCTGCACCCCTCTGCAGTACACAGCTCCAGATCAGATGTCTGCTGAGGTTTGGCCCTGAAAGATGCCAATCCCAAAGGAGGAAAGAAAGAAGGGTCTGCAGTCTGCTGATGATTCTTTTTCCTACACACACCCCGCTTGTTCTCAGGTTTCATTGACATCATCGTCTTGTCTCTCTGATAAGTTGGAATTGTTGGTGTATTATGGAGGGCCTCACAATCTCAGTGCTGTGGTGGAGAGCCGAGACCCCAAAGTTGCACCTGGTGAGTGTGGAGGGCAGAACTGAGCACCAGGTGTTGAGGAGACTTGAAGAATCTGAGGAGCATTTGGGCAACAAGTTTGTCAAATTATAGAATCACAGAGTATCCAGAGTTGGAAGGGGCCCTCACTCATGTTCAACTCATGCCTCCACACAGGACTACCTAAAATTAAACCACGCGCCTGTGAGATTTGTCCAAATGGTTCTTGAACTCCGGCAGCTTGGTGCTGTGACCACTGCCCTGCAGAGCCTGATCTGTGCCCACCACCCTCTGCTGTAGAACTTGTTCCTAACCCCCAGCCCGACCCTTCCCTGACATGGCTACATGCTGCACCCCAGGCTACAACTGGCCCCTTTTGGCAGCCAGGGCATACTGCATAGCTGGTCATCAGCTTGTCACTGGCCAAAATCACCAGATCCTTTTCTATAGGGCTGTTCTCCATCTTCTCATCTGTAAGTCTGTACATCAATCAAAGATGATCCTATCCTAGTTGCAGAATCCAGCAGTCTGCTCCTTAAATTTCATACTGTTGGTGGTTGCCCAGCACTCTAGTATATCACAGTGTCTCTACAATGATGAAGGGAGTCAACAGCTCTTTCTCATTTAGTATCATAAGCTGGAGCTGAGGGCAATCTGTATGAGAAAAGCAAAGAGACAAGGAAAAGTGCTGCAACCTAAGAATCCTCCTTCTTTCCCCCACACGCTTCAGGCTCTCTGCTGGGGGACCCTGTGGTGATGGTGACACTGAAGCCCAGCATTCCTGAAGTGATGCCCAGCCCAGGCCATCTTGGGGAATTCCTCTTTCTCATGGACTGCAGCCTCTACCAGGATGCACAGGTACCATCTGAGGATGTCATCACTATGGACTTCCCTTGTTTCTTATACCCAGGTAGTGGGCAGTCAAGCTGCTTTATGGGGGCAGAGGTTCTGCCTTGCTTCCTCAACTGAGCTCTGCCCATCCCTCTTCTTGTCCCCAGAACACACTGCTCTTCCTCCTCAAGAGTTTGCCTCTGGGTTGCTACTTCAACATCTACACTTTTGGGGCCACTTTCAAAGTCTTCTATCCATGAGTTGGGGGTGATGATAGGGCAAAGGCAAATGCAGTATGACTTTTCTAAGTGAAAGTGTAGGACAAACACTTTCTACATGGCAGCTATAAAGCAGGATCATTTAGATGCAGTGATAGAGTAGTTCTCCTTTCAGGTTGCTTCTAGAATACTGGTAGTGAGGTAGGGAATGGTCATATAGGGATACCTGTGGACCAGATTCTTCCTCTCTAATACACTGCATGCTCTCCCATACGCAAAGTGTGGAATACACACAGGAAGCCATGGACAATGCTGTGGGACGCATCTCTTCCATCTGCCCTGATCTTGGGGGCTGTGATCTCTTGGGTCTCCTAAGGTTTATCTACAGCACTCCCCTCCTTCGTGGACTGCCTCGCCAGGTAGCAGGGGACAGAGGGTTGTCGGGGTGAATGGGTGTAAACAGTGGGGCAAGGGTAGATTTTAGAGCTCAGCATGAGTCATTCTGCTAACTTTCGTATTGAGAGTTGCCACTGGGACATTCTCATGGCAGCAAGTCACATTATCTTTGGGTGGGCAGCTTTGGAGAGTTTCTGTGGAATTTACCTGCACCTGGGGAAGATGGATCTTCCTTGTGGGGGGCCACTTTGGGCTGAAAGATGTCCTGATATTAATGACAGGAGATACACAATCTCTTTCTCTCCCTGTTTCAAGGCGAGTAGATAGAGAGCAAGGGAGTGAGTTGGGGAAGGCTGTCTGCATTTTAGAAGGGTGACTTTCTTCTGTAGGGACCCATGAAATCTTTGATCCCCTCTTCTCTACCTCAGCTCTTCATCTTCATCCAAAGGAAGGTCTCCAGTGAGGAGCAAGCTATCATGGCTAAGGTTCACCGTTACCGGGACTACCATCGGTAATGAGGGAGCCCTGTTCCTGTCCCCCAGCATAGTGACTCCCCTTGTCAGTCTTCCAAACATTCTCCCAGATTCTCATCTGTTACAGTTCTTCTCTTTGCCTTGATGGGATTTCATCAGTGACATCCACACACACCTGTCTTACTTCCCCAAGACAATCAATAATCTTCCTCTAGTAGACCTAGACCTTCTCTCAGAATTTGTCAGGCTCTTCTCAGCGTTTTTCCTCTTCCCTCTCTAACCTTCCTCTCATTTTCTGTACAGGTGTTTCTGTTTTCCTACAGACAAGTGTGAGAGCTTTTACATTTCCCAGGCCATTGCTCTGGAGACCAAAGGCAAATGTGTGTGCATCCACTCCAAGATGACCATGACATCTGAGGTAATGATCCAGATGCTTCTGCTTTCAGTGTTCCCCCTGTTCTATTGAACACTTCCTACAGCTCTCCTAGATGTGCAAGGAAATCTGAATACCATCATCCACCCCAATTCAGAGACTCTCCAGTGGTATGTTCTCTTTGCATCCCTTATCAGGCAGTGAAATGCCTGCAGCAGGCCCTGCAGCCCCTGGCAAGTGAGATCTCACTGCACTGGGATCTTCCACCAGGCCTGGAGGTGACAGTGATCAGAAAAGCTCCTGAGACGATCTTCCAGAGACATCAGAGCATCGTCTATGCCCAGATCCATGGGCAAGCACAGGTAAAGCAACTGCTCGGGTCCAGGGCAGAACTGGACCCGCTCTCTGTTTCACCTCCTCAACGTTGAGAGTCCTTCGCCTCTGCTAGATGGGGGGAAACAGTATCATGTCTCTGTGAGTCCTTTTCTTTCCCTCAGAGGTGTTACTGCCTCTGCTCCTACAATGGATATCTACTAATTTAGTGTATCAGTGAGTGAACCTAAGTAGCCAGTCCCCCGGTGCCCTGCAGGTAAACTTTTCTGAGGTTCTTTTACTTGTGCCACCAGGATCCAGAGGCAGATGTGGCAGCTGTGACCCTTCAGTATCGTGTGGGCAGCCAGCCCTTTCATTACACACTCAGATTCTCAATGTCCCCATCAGCAGATGACAGGTAAGAGGGGTAATACCATTGCCCACAAGGCAGAGGGATACTGTCTAGGGCTGGAAGAGGGAAAGCAAATATCATTTGTATGCACACCCTGAGAAGGGAAGAGACTCTGGATACCCAGTGCTCACACTTTGTCCACTCTGCCTTGACCAGGGAGAGGATCTGGGTGACCATGAGCTCCTGCTCCTTACCCTGTGTCTCATCCATGTCTCACCTTCCTCCTCAGCATGGAAACAAGGACTAATGTCCTTCCCCAGCAGGTTTCCTGTGCACCGCATAGCCATGATGCATCTGCTTTGGAAACTGGCCTGGCAGGGGTCAAGCAAGTCAGAGATGGAGGACATCTGGCACAGTGCAGTTAAGCTCAGCCTCAGCCTGGGGGTCCCATCTGCCTTCACATCAGTTGTGGCAGTACGCATAGAACAGATGGATACTGGGCACCATGGTAAGGCCACAAAAAGCAGGGATAGGACTGGGAGGGGAAAGTGAGACTTGCTGGTTTGATGGTTCCTCACCATCAGCGGCCCCATATCTGTGGGTGTGACCAGCTTTTTTGCCTCTCTAAAATGCGTGAGTCTAACTTCCACTTCCCCTCTTCTTGCCTCCTCCTCCAGATTCTTTGCTTGCAGATTCCTCCATGCTTCTTTCTTCCTCTTGCAATCTGGTTCCCTGCCAGTTCCTCTGGTTGTGTGGCTCCAGGCCTGTATGGTTCAAGTCCACCAAATTTTGGATGGTCCAGAAGTTCCAGCTCTGTCTCGAGACGCTGAGTCCCAAGGCCTCTCACACGGAGGTATTGTCCCAGCTTTCAGCACACTGTAAAGGTAAGGAGAAAGTTCTTATCAGGGGATTCTCTGATGTATTGCGCAGGGGTTAAACTCTCCTTTCAGCATTTATTTTTTCACCAGAACTCCTGATTGTCAGTGCTCTGGGGATGGATGGAGAGATAGCCAAAAAAAATTTCTACCTCTCAACTCTGGGCTAGAAACTAAGAACCAGCTAGTTCCTTGAATTAATCTGAGTTCCAGCTATCATGATTCTTGTCACTCTATTCCAGCTCAGAATATTCTACAATTCTAAGTTTGTTACAAAACATCTTCATGGTTTTGCACCACATCCTTATCTTCAAATTGGAGAAATATGGGTTTGAGGCCACTTTTGGAGTGGCCTATGTACAAGACTATGGGGGCCAATGATTTCCATCACGAGGTCTTCAAGGAACTGATCGATGTGGTTGCCAGGACACTCTCCATCACGTTTGAAAAGTTGTGGCTGTCAGATGAAAGCCTCAGTGATGGGGAAAAAGGGAAACATCACTCCTATTTTTAAGAAGGGTAGAAAGGAAGACTGACAAAACTACAGAATGGTCAGCCTCACTTCTGTGCCTGGGAAGATCATGGAACAGACCTCCTGGAAGATACAGTAAAGCATTTGAGAGATTGAGGAGGTGATCTGAGACATCCAGCACAGCTTCACCAAGGGCAGGATAGTGTCTTAATAATCTGGTGGCGCTCTGTGATGGAGTGATGGCACCAGTGGGCAAAGGAAGAGCAACTGATGTCATCTACTTCCACTTCTGCAAAGCCTTTAACGTGGTCCCACATCACATTCTTATCTCTATTTAGGTGAGATATGGATCTGAAGAATTTACTATTCAGTGGATAAGTAATTGGTTGGATGGTGACAGCCAAAGCATTGTTGTCAATGGCTCTGTGTCCAGGTGGAGGCCAGTGGCAAGTGTTGACCATGGGTGTTCATCTTCAGACATGTACTCTTTGGCATCTTTACCAATGGTACAGGCAGTGGGATCGAGTACACCCTCAGCAAGTTTGCAGATGACACCAAAAGGTGCTGGACCCAAACAAACTTAGGAAATTGAGCTGAATGAACTGAATGAGGTTCAGTAAGACCAGTGCAAGGTGCTGCACCTAGGTCAGGGAAATCCACAGCATGTATAGACCGGGAGACGAACTCGTGGAGAGCTTCTTTGCATAGATGGACCTGGGAGTTCTGGTGAATGAAAAGATTGACACAAGCCAGCAGTGTCAAGAAGCACAGAAGCCAACTGTGTCCTGGACTACATCACAAGAGACATGGCCAGGAGGATGAGGGAAGTGATTATCCTGTTCTGCTCTGCCCTTGTGAGGCTCCATCTGAAGAACTACATCCACAACTGGGGCCTCCAGCACAAGATAGAAAAAGTATTTGTTAGAGTGGATACACGGGAGGGCCTCAGAGACAATCAGAGGGCTGGAGTACAAAGAATAGCTGAGACAGCTGGAGTTGTTCAGCCTGGAGAAGGCTTCAAGGAGGTCACATTGCAGCCTTACAGTACTTAAAGGAAGCTTATAAAAGACAACTTTTTACATGGTCTGATAGTGAAAGGGGAATGGTTTTAAACTAAGAGAAGGGAATTAGAAGAGTCAGATAATAGGAGGAAATTCTTTACTCAGAGTGTGATGAAGCACTGGAACAGGCTGCCCTGAGAAGCTGTGGATGCCCCATCCCTGGAGGCATTCAAGGCCAGTTGATGGAGCCCTGGATGGAGCCCTGGATGGAGCCCTGGGCAGCCTGAGCCGGTGGTTGGAAACTCTGCCCATGGCTGGGGGGATTGGAAACAGAAGGTCTTTAAGGGCCCTTTTAACTCGACTTATTCTATGATTCTATTCTATGAACCGCAGAATAGAGAGAGTACCTGAGACACTGATGAGGACAAAAAAGGACTTTCAGGTGAGGCATCCAGAATTAGATGAGCCTGAATCTGGTGTCCAAGTAGAGAGGAAAAGGCATGTAATAGTTACTGGAAACTCTCTCCTGCAGTGTGTGGGGGTACTCAGCTGGCAACTCAGCTTGATATTTCTGAAAGCATGTTGCTTCTCAGAGGTCAGGACCAAGGAACTCTCAGAGACTGTCAAGGTTCTTCTGGCTCATGGGCCTATCACTGCTCTTTCATGTGGACAGCAATGACACTATCAGGGATAAACTGGAGCCCTGGTGGAGAAGCTGAAAACCATCAGAGCCTACATTACTTCTGCAAATAGTAATGCAAAATAAGTGCACTGGGGAAGACCAGAAGGAAATTGAGGGCACAAGGGATAAAGCAGATGTTTAGGAGACAGAGGAGGTTCTCACGTTTCCCTGAAAAAGCTATGTGATATTGGAGGCATCTCAAATGTTTGTAGAGAAATACACAGAGAATGGGGAACAGACAGGAGGAAAACTGTACTTCTGCAGAAACACGACCTCTTCAGAATTGTAGAAATCTGATGGGTAGTTCTCTAGATTGAATTTATTCTATGGATTGACAAAATAAGGTGGATGGATTAAGAAAATATAAGGTGGGAAGCTAAGAAGAATGGGTCATACTTGATGCAAACAAGTGGCTAGAATCACAGAATGGTTGAGGTTGGAAGGGACATCTGGAGGTCATCCAGTCCCAATTCCCTGCTCATACAGGGTCACTAAACCTGATTGCCCAGGACCACATCTAGAAGACTTTCAAGCACTCCCACAGAGGGAGACTCCACAGCCTCTCTGAATACCTATTTCAGTGCTCTGTCACCTACACAGCAAAGAAATGTTTCCTCATGTTCAGAAGGAACCTCCTGTGTTCCAGTTTGTATCTCTGTAATCTTCCTGGGATCTACAACCCACTGTCTACAATTTTTTTTTATTTTTATTTTTTTTAAATTTTAGCATCATGAGGAAGTCCTGACTCAGTCACACTGGTCTCTCTTTTCCATTGCCCAATTTCTTGCATGTTGGAATTGAGAGTTCTTGTACCCTAAGAAAAATATCTTTAAATATATCCAAGATTTCTTCTGCTTCTTTACTGCTGAAAGCAATTTCCCAGGAGATCCCATCCATCAATGCTCAAACAACTGAAAGTTTGCCTACCTGAGGGTAAGGGTCTTGCCCTGTAGCCTGGCCTATACTCCTCAAAATCACCCCTTCTACTGGGGCGTGATGACTGCAGCCATGCTATATCCAGCCCACTTCACTGAGTTCTCTGTATTGTGACACAGTAACACGTCTCTTCTTGTTGACTGGGCTTTCTATCCTCCGGATTAAGAATCTATCCTCAACACAGCGCAGGAGTATGGGAGTCCCAGGGGTCTCCTAGACTGCTTGCAACTTGCTGTACCACTTTCTTCCAGAAGATGCCTAGGTGGTTGAAATCTCATAACAGGGTCAGAGCCCACTGCCTCCCCCTGTAACAAACATCAACCATCAAGTTTCCTTTATTGAACTGACTAGCCAGTGCTTATCTCAAAGGAACTGTGTGAATATTTCTGTTTTCCAGAGCAGGAGTCTTCTCCTGAGGAGCAGATGATAGAAGAACCAACAGCTTTTAACACCAGTTGGGTCTGGACAATTTCACCACTGTCAACAAAACTGTGTAACTTCTCCAGTATCAGGATAGTAGTGGCACTCCAGAAAGCAAATGGGTCCTGGGCCCTCACCTCAGCCCTGATCTCTGCCTTGGGGCTCAGGAAGGCTGATGTTGAGGGACAAAGTCTCAGTAAGGTAAGTAGATCAGTGTCAAGTGTGGGGAAATGTCACAAGCTGAACTTTTCTTAGCTCCAAGTTTACAGTCTGAGTTGAACAGACAGGAGATGAAAACCTTCAGTATATAGAGCCTCTCTACTTGTGGAAAGATTGGATCAGCACCTGCCCATGGCCAGGGGGTTGGAACTAGATGATCTTTAATGTCCTTTCCAACCCACACCATTCTATGATTCTATAAATCCGTGTCTAAATCTATGAGACTATGAGTGTATGATTCTATGATCTGGAAACTTCCTGGCTTCGATGGTTTTAAAGCCTAGATAAATTTGTGTGTGCAGAGGTCTTTTTTTTAGACAAAGCTTTGTCCAAAGGTTTATTCATCTTTCTTCCCACTAGTTGTTCAATCTCTTCCCATCCCCCTCCCTCCCAAATAGGATGTGAAGCCAGTTTTTGCCACAGTTTTGGCCTTAGTGTGGTTGCACCAGTATAAATGGAGGGTGTCCTGGTCAGAACTTCTGGAGGTCAAAGCTCCTAGTTGGCTGTGGGACAGAGCTGGTAAGATTTTGCTTAGAAAATTCATACTATGGGCCTTTCCTAGAAAATGCACAACCAATTTCCATGTTCCTCTTTCCCCTGCTCCTATGTGGCAGTCTATGGGACTCAATATACACTATCTTCCCTTTCTGAGTAGTGTACCCTCTCAACATTTTCTTTCTGCTTGCAGAGTTCCATCTGGATGAATATCTGGAAGCAGTGAATTCTTTCCTAGGCTGTTTTGTAGAGCCCACCATCTTCAGGATCTGAACTTCCCCATGCTACAGGGGGTGTATCCATGCAAGGGATACACCGGGACAACTGATGAAGGGAAAGGGAAGAGGGGGGGAGGGAGGATGGGAAGAACTTGGGCAAGTTGGGGATGGGGTCAGGGATGCTGTCTTTCAAGGTGAGAGCTGCTTAGAAATTGACTGGATGATTACTTGTGGAAGATGGTGATCATGTTAACATTAGAAGTTATTGCCTATACATAATTGGTGGGGGTTTTTTTCCTCTTTCCTCACTTACTAAATTGTCTTTATGTCAACATGAGTTCTTTCGCTTTTGATCTTCCTATTCTCTTCACCATGCTGCTGTAGGAGTGAGGGAACTGAAATGTGTATGTTCTGTGTAAACCCAAGGAAAGATTTATGCAGAATATGTGAATCTGCACGCTATTCTATGCCATGCCAGCCCTGGCCATTGTGAAGCTACGTAGAGATCCTGTTTATAGTATGAGTCAAGGATCAGCACAGTCCACCCAGCACTACCCCAAAACTAGGAAATGAATAGTAAAAAGTTGCATTCCTTAAACAGGGGGCCAAGTAAAAAGTTTTTGTAACTAGTAAGCCGCCACAAAATGTCCAGAGCAAGACATCCATATGCAGACAGCTTTATGGGAATGAAAACTGACCTGTGATAGCTCCCTGTATGGTAATGCTGAGTCACAGCCTCAACCACTGATTGAGTATCTGGGCAAAAGACCCAGTCAGCCCTGGGAGCACAGGTGAAGGCAATTTACCTGTGTGATAGGAAGGAGTTGGAGCCTGGCTGCACCTCTCTTAGGTGCTCTCTCTCTCTGCCCTGCTGACTGCTATCTCTTCTTGGAGATCCCTCCCTGGTGAAGCTTTCATTTGCAAACCCAGATTCTTCAGGTACTGGTGAGCAATCTGCTTCCTTTATAGCACCTCTCTCTTGTCATCACACCTTTGTTGTAACCCCTTTCCCATTGCCCTGATCTGCCCAATTGCTACATTCCCTGTTACCATTTCTTGGAACTGTTTGCTAATGCAAACTGTCACAAGTAAAAGCAACTATAGAATATAACTTTGTTTTACTCCCTGTTTTCTTCTGAAACAAAGCTGGTGCTGATCACACAGTCTCAAAATTGCTCTTCTCTTACAGTGGGAGAGATTTTGCTCCCCCAGTCCTCTTGTAGATGTCCAGGGACTTGAGAGATGCTTGGCTGCCTCTGAACGCTGAGATAAAGAGCTCAAATACCTCGGCCTTCTTTGTGTCTATTGTTGCCATTTCTTCCTTCTCATGTACCAGAGGGGGTGTATGCTCCACAGCCTTTCCCTTCTGACCAATGTACCTGTAGAATCCCTTCTTGTTAACTTTCACATCCCTTCCCAAGTTCAGTTCCACGTGCTGCCTGGTTTTCCTGATCTGCACATCTAGGTTGCATCCTTATATTCTTCCCAGGCCACCTACCCCTGATCCCATAGTGTGTGCATTTCCTCCTTATCTCACAATTGGACCAGAATGTCCTTCTTCAACCATGCTGGTTTCTTGCCTCCCCTGTTTCACTTCACGTGCTTGGGGATGGAGAGCTCTGGTGCTCTAAGAAAACTCTCCTTAAAGAGCTGCCAGCTCTGCTCCATTCCTTTGTCCCCCAGTACAGCTTAGCACAGGAATGGCTTACCTAGAGAAGTGCAGCTGTCCTCTCCCTGTAATTGTTCAAGGCCAGATTGGATGGGGCTTTGGGCAACCTGGTCTGGTGGAAGGTGTCCCCATCCATTGCAGGGGTGTTGGAATTAGATGGTCATTAAGATCTCTTCCAACCCAAAACTTTCTATGATAATACAATTCTATGATTTCTGATATCCTTGGTTGGTCATTTCATGGTATGAATCCCTTCATGGTAAACAGATCCTTGAGCTCAGATTAAAAAAAAATGCTTTTAACTGCTTACTAGTCTGTATTACTCAAAAAGGAACTGGTGGTTAACTTAAGAGTGTATCGTGACAGTAACATTGCCTGGGAACTTCTGAGTTCTTCTAACTTTTAGAAGTCTGCTTTGACTCCAGCAGCTGCTCCAGGATGTATCTGGTTCGTACCAGATGCACCCTGTTTTGTATCACACCATGGCAATGTATCAGTTACCCTAAAACACCTCTATTTGAATAACATTTCTAACTCACATGGGTGTTATTCTCTATTCAGTTTGACTTCCAAGTCTGACTGTGAGGGAAATGAATCTTTATTTCTTTGGTACTCCAGAGCATCTGAGGTAGCCCAAGATGAATTTCTTGTTCCCTTGGTGTTCCTTCATCAGTTCTAACAAAAATGTCAGTGAAGGTGTCAGACGCATGTATAGCAATGAGAGTAACAGCCTCAGTATCGTCTAAGTCCTGGGTGTTGAGCTATACTTTGTACAGAATTCTCCTGAGAAGCTGCAGCCATGGCCTGGAAAGGTGCCCTCAGTGCTGGGTAAAGAACTGGCTGGAGGGCTGGACCCAGAGAGTGGTGGTGAATGGAATTGTATCCAGCTGGTGACCGGTAACCAGCGGTGTTCCCCAGGGATCTGTTTAATATCTGTTCTGTTTAATGTCTTTATTGATGACCTGAATGTCAGAACTGAGTGCACCCTCAGTAAGTTTGCAGGCAACGCCATGTTGGAGGAAGCGTGGATCTGCCCGAGGGCAGGCAGCCCTACAGAGGGACCTGGACAGGCCGATGGCTGGGCTGAGGCCAACGGGACGGAGTTGCAGAGAAAGGCAGTGGAGCTGTGAAGGGTCTGCAGCTCAAGTCTTATGGGGAGTGCCTGAGGGAACTGGGATTGTTCAGTGAAGAAGAGAAGGAATTAGGGCTTCTCATCACTTTCTTGGAGGGAGATCATTAACCCAGATGAAGTGAAATGTGAGCAACAAATGGGAGGAGCTGGAAGCCTTTGAGCCACAGGGAAAACTATGATCTAGTTGTCATCACAGAAACATGGTGGAATTACTTTCATGACAGGAGTGCTGCAGTGGATGGCTGTAAATATTTTGGAAAGGATAGGCTAGTGAGGAGAGTCAGCAAGGTAGCCGTATATGTTAGGGAGTGTTTTGATTGCCTGTAGCTTAATGACGGTGACGATAGGGTTGAGTATTTATGATTAAGAACCAGGATGGCCAGCAAGGTAGATGTCATGGTGGGAGTCTGTTATAGACCACCCAACCAGGATGAAGAGACAGGTACAGCACTGTATAAGTAGCTGTCTCACAATCGCTAGCCCTTGCTCTCATGGGGAGCTTCAACTGACCAGGTATCTGGTGGAAATATAGAATACAGCAGGGAGAAAACAGTCTAGGAGGTTTCTGAAATGTGTGGAAGATAACTTCCTGACACAGCTGGTGAGTGAGCCAACCTGGGAAGACGTGTTGTTGGAACTTTTGCTTGTGAACAGAGAAGGACTTGTGGGTTATGTGAAGGTTGAAGGCTGTTTTGAGCATGGCAGTCACAAACTAATAGTTTCTGATCCTTGGAAAAGTGAAGAGGGAAGTTAGTAGAACTGCCTCATTAGATTCCTGGATGGCAAACTTCAGTCTGTTTAGGAGACTTGTTGACAGAGTCCTTTGGGTATTTTCCTGATGGTCAAAAGTCTCCAGGAAGGTTAGGCGCTCCTCAAGAAGGAAATACTAAGGTTCAGGAACAGGCCATCCCCACATGCCAAAAGATGAACTGGCAGGGAAGAAGACCAGCCTAGCTGAACAGAGAGCTAAAACAGGAACAAACAGAGTTCATGGTCTTTGGAAGAAGGGGCAAGCCACTTAGGAGTACTACAAAGAGATCATAAGTCTATGCAGTGAGGAAATCATAGAATCGTAGTATCACCAAAATTGGAAAAGATCTCTAAGATCATCCAGTCCAACCATCCATGTATCATCAATATTTCTCACTAAATCACATCCCGCAGTACATCTAAAATGAGAATAGGCAAAACCCAGCTGGAGCTTTATCTGGCTACTGCCATTTAAGACCACAAAAATGCTTCTGTAATTACATCAGCAACTAAAGAAGGACTAAGAAGAACCTCTATTTTTTATTGGTTGTGGGGGTAAATACAGTGATGAAGGATGAGATACTTAATGCCTTCTTTGCCTCAGTCCTTAGTAGAAAGGCCAGTTGTTCTCTGGAGATCCAGCATCCTGAGCTAGAAGATGGGGATGAGAAGCAAGAACAGTCATCATATTGCAAGAAGAAATGGATAGCGACTTGCAACAACTCTTAGATGCACACAGGTTTATGAAACCAGATAGGATCCCCCCAAGTACCAAAGAAGGTGGCTAATGTGCTCATCAAACCATTTTCTCTCATTTGTCAGCCATCCTGGCTATCAGGGGAGGTCCCAGTTGACTAGAGGTCAGCTAAGAAGCAGGGCTGGAAGAAATACGGGGGGAACTACAAGCCCGTCATTCTGATTTCAGTGCTGGGGAAGGTTATGGCATAGGTCTTCTCATGTGCCATCACACAGCACATACAGAACAAGCAGATGGACAGGCTCAGGCAGCATGGATTTATGACAGGTAGATCCTGCTTGTCTAGCCAGATTTCCTGCTATGAAAACTGATCTGTTTAGTGGGAAAGATTGTAAAACTGCTCCTGGAGAAGCTCCTACATTCTCCTGCGTAAACTGCTCCTGGCTTCAATAGGCATATGCTTTGCTGGGTAAAAATCTGTTTGGGTCCCAGGCCCAGATAGTTGTGGTGAAGGGAGTGAAGTAGTTAGGCCAGTTCTTTTATATCTTTATCAATGATCTTGAACGGGCTGCCCAGGGAAGTATCTGTATCAGCACTCCTGGAAGTATTTACAAGATGTGCAGTGTAGTGCTTAGGGGGACTTGGTGTAGTGGTGGACTTTGCAGTGTTACGTTAACTGTTGGAGATGATGGTCTTGGAGGCATTTTCCAACCCAAATAATTCTATGACCAGAATCTGGTCTGGCACATGAAGTGTCACCAGGAGTTTTTGTATTTGCACAGCTCTCTGCTACTCCCTATCTCTATTATTTACCATGGAATCCCAGGAGCAGCTCCTATGCAGCTCGCAGCAGGGCAGGGCCACAGCATGCAGGAGGTGTGGAGAGAGGAGAGATGGGAGAGGTTTAAAGGCCGGGTGGAGTGCAGCAATAGAGAACAGCTCTGAACAGGATGAACTGTTGGATCCTAGCACAGTGAGTCTTGGGTTGAAGGATGATGTATGTGGGGTTATCAAAGGGCAAAGCTGGCACATCCAGTGACTGTTGTCAGGATGGCTTTCCCTCTTCCTCTAACTTAGGTTAGGAGGTGTTGTAGAGAATTACATTTATGAGGGTATGTTTAAAGAAGAAGATGAAGGCATGAGATACTTGAAGGGGAAGGCATTTTCTGAAGTCTGTGACTTCAAATTCCTGCTGTGGAGGGGAGGCAAGTGTCGTGGGCATGGAATATCAGTCTACAGGAGGATGTAATTCCTAGACCATTGCACTGACAGATCAGTATTGTTGGTGATGAACTGCAGAAATTTCCTGTTCCCTCCCCACTCCACTGTGACCTACAGAGTGCACTAGCATCACCTTCATGATGCCATCGAGGTTCTTCTGAAGTGATCTTTAGGATCTCTGGCACTGCTCTCTGGTGCTCACAAGGACCTGTTCCTTCCTTCAGGACACCCTGTCTCCAAGACATTCCCTTGTCTTTCCCTGGGATTCTTGTTGAGATGCAGGTTGCCCTCCAGAAGGGCTCTCACCTCTCTTGTAGTATCTGTGCCTTCTCTCTTAGCCCCATGGAGGAGTCACCTTAGTGCTAAAGCCATGCATGGCTCCATATGGGAATTTACAGTGAGTCCTCTCTATCTCTGCCGAGGTGAGGAGCACTGAGATCCTCCTCAGCTAAAATGAGGCTGGGTGATTGTTTTGTTCCTCTGCATTTGGAATCTGGATTTGTCTGCTCTCAGCAGTGTGCAGGTTTTTCACAAGGAAACACACAAGAGCAATCATCCTCCTTCTCAAAGAGCTGTCAGCACAGCTGAGACCAGGGCTGATGGACAGAGTGGCTCTCTTCACTCTGCAGTAATGAATAGTCCCTTTGCCTAGTGGGACCCAAAAGATTTCACTTGGAGTGCAAAGGCAATGCCAATGCATTGATGCAGGATGCAGGATGCCTTAACACTCCTTTGGTGTGGTGAGGCAATTAAATTAAAATCAATGAAATCCAACCTTATGGTGCTGTTCTGTAGTTGGGTGAATTGGTAAGGACAATGCTGGTAAGGTTTTTGATATTATGAGTGGATATGTTCTGAGGTCAGTGCATGTTCCTATTTACCTACTGCTGTAGGCTGAACAGACTCCTGCAGTGCTCCTGTTCCCTGTGATCACCTTAGAGCCAACCAGGGCTTAATCAAGGCTTAATCAATACAATATTCTCTGAAAGACAAGGTACATCGGGGGTCTTCTGTGAGAAGAGTTACAGGATTTGATCAGAGAAGCATCTCCTAATTTGTTATGGCCCTTTCCTCCCTCGACAGGTCCCTGTGCCCAGACAGAGCAGATGTCTAACAGCACCTCCACCACTGAGTTCCTCCTCCTGGCATTCACAGACACGTGTCTGTGCATGACATCCATGCATCTGCAGGAGCTGCGGCTCCTGCACTTCTGGCTCTCCCTGGGCATCTACCTGGCTGCCCTCCTGGGCAATGGTCTCGTCATCATGGCTGTAGTCTGTGATCATCATATGCACACTCCTATGTACTTCTTCCTCCTTAACCTTGCCTTCTGTGATCTGGGCTCTATCTCCACCACTCTTCCCAAAGCCATGTCCAATTTCCTTTGGGGCAGTGGGGCCATCTCATACACAGGATGTGCTGCACAAGTATTTTTTCTCTTTTTCTGTACTACAGCTGAGTGTGCTCTTCTTACTGTCATGTCCTATGACCGCTACATTGCCATCTGCAAGCCCTTGCACTATGGGACCCTCCTGGGCAGCAGAGCTTGTGCCACCATGGCAGCAGCTGCCTGGGGCTCTGGGGTCCTCAATGCTCTGCTGCACGCTGCCAGTACATTCTCACTGCCACTCTGCCAAGGGAATGCTGTGGACCAGTTCTTCTGCGAAGTTCCCCAGATCCTCAAGCTCTCCTGCTCCAGCTCCTATCTCAGGGAAGTTGCTCTTCTTGTGGTTAGTCTCTCTTCTGCATCTGGGTGCTTGGTTTTCATTGTGCTCTCCTATGTGCAGATCTTCAGGGCTGCGGTGAGGATGCCCTCTGAGCAGGGCTGGCACAAAGCCTTCTCCACGTGCCTCCCTCATCTGGCTGTGGTCTCCCTGTTTGTCAGCACTGGCACTTTTGCCTACCTGAAGCCACCCTCCATCTCCTTCCCATCCCTGGACCTGGCTGTGGCAGTGCTGTACTCAGTGGTTTCCCCAGCAGTGAACCCTCATCTACAATCATCATCAATCATCTACAGCATGAGGAACCGGGAGCTCAGGGGTGCCCTGAAGAAACAGATGAGCAGACTTTTCAGAAGTAGACATCTGTCTTTCTTCTTCTGCAGATCATTCATAGTAAAACTCTTGATTGTCAGAACCTGTCGTCTGCTCATGTTGGTTTTCTTCCCCTTTGGTTTTCTGTGAAAACATTCTCCAAGAGAAATGCCACTTGTCATTCTCCTGAGTACCTAAACAAAATAAAGGGCCCTACAACAACCTCAATAGAGTTGATTCTTTTCCTAGCAGCTGCTTCCTATCCCCAGTCTCACACGTATGATAGAAATGCATACAAGAATTCCCCCCACCCTCTGTGCCACCATGTGGTTTTACCTGTGTTACCTTGAGTTACCATGAGAACAACATGAGAAAATGTGATGGCAAATCTACTTCAAATCTAGACACACGTATTGTGAAGAAAAAACGAGCAGTGGAGGATTTCCAGGATAGTTATTGCTCCTCTCTCTATTGGACAGTCCCATAGGATACGAGATATTATTTTAAATCTGATCTGCTCTTAAGTAAATGAATTCTGGTTTGCATTTACATGACTTGAGGAATGGTTTTCCTCTATTCTTCCTGTGAGAAGGAAATAATGTTAGAGAAAACAAGTATGCACTGCTGATCAGTATGTGACTCTTAGGCTGGTGTCAGTGGAAACATTTTGGTTTTTTTCCGTTGTGGGATGATTGGCACAACACCAGGCCAAGCGCTGGGATGCTACAAGGGTGTGGGACACCCTTGGCAGGGGTTGCACCCACCAGCATTATCAAAAACCTGGTGCTGGGTTGCCAAGATATGGTGACATTTGTTGGCTGGACAGGGAAGTGTGAGAGCACAGGAGCACGGTCTGTAAAATCAAGCAGCTACAAGTCCTAGACTTAGCCCACAGCCTCCACTTAATGACCAGGTCCACGATTCCCCTGTGGCCAGGGGTGCTTCCCCTGCTGCCTTCTTCCTCTGAGGACTGAGGACTGAGCTCATGTCCTTCTAACACAGTCTGAGCCCAGGCTGTGGATGTCTTGCATGCTGACGAGTAAGAATTGTATGCCATCTGCAGAGGGTCCAGGTGGCTGAAAAGTTTATGCAACTGAGAATTCTAAAAATGGTGTGCAGCTACATCAAGTGCTAGAAATTGTAGCTCGTAAGCAACACTGATCGTTTTATATATATATATATATGTTTACACACATACATAATAACTCTCTAATTACAGCCATGCCACTGTGGCCAATCCTTCTGCCAAGGATCCCTAAGAGAACCCAGCTGACCTCTGCAGCACAAGACAAAAACAAACTTCATTAGAGACAGCTTGGATTTGGCACAGAGCTGAGGACCGTGCTTTCTTGTTCTCATAGATCTTATCCGTTTTACTTTAAATAAATAAATAAACCTTTCTGTGGCTGTCTGCAGTCAATTCTCCAAGGAAAGCAGGCAAAAGTTGGTGGAAAAGAGCTGTAACATCCAGCTTTAACAACAGCAGAGAAATCAGAGGTAAAGAAAAGTGAAGCAAGTCTCAGGTGACCAATGAGAGAAATGGCACACCTGGGGAGGTGAGCAATCAGATTATCTATACGGCGTCCATCCTCAAGAGACTGTTTTTCCCACCTGCCCAGATCTCCTTAGGGGACACCCTGGATCAATATCAGTTGGGGAATGTTGCTATCACTATTTGTCTAAAATGAAAAGCAAGGAAAAACATCTGGAAAAATAAAACATTCTTTTTTAGTATGTAGTCACTGAAAACTTTCTTTTTAACTGCACTCTTGAAATCTAATTAACCATACATCTGTAAGACTAAATGAAAGTGGCTTGTCAAGGCACTCTGCACTTTAATGAGTCCCATGGTGACAAGTCAATGAGCCTCAGGTATTGAGAGGAAACTGATGTCACCACTCCGGAAGATAAAGTCAGAAGGAAATGCTAAAGTGTCTTGAAGTATTAATGGGACCCAGAGAGGGCCATTAATGACATGCCTCCCCATGGACTCGTTAGAAAAGATAATTGGAGGCCATGATTACAGGAAGGCAAGGGCACTTGATACACAGCTCTGATGCCTCTGAAAGCCTTTGCTTTGATTGATGAAGCAAAAAAACTGAGCCTTGCCCCCCAGACCTTGGGAAGGGAGATTTCTGTTCCTCATCATGGCCCTTCCTGAGCAGTGGGATGTAGGATGTGCAATACTGAATGAAGGAGAATCAAACAACACCTCCAGGCTTCCCTCAGTATCGCCAGGAAAAAACAAGGTCTCAGTGCCATGTGGACCATGCATCTCCTCATGGGTTGCAATAACAAAACAGGTGCCAGAGCAAAGGGGACAAAGACCTTGGTGCTGTCAGGGCCTTCCAGCCTCACCGGTGCAATCCACCGTAACCACTGCTGTCCTACACTGTCCCACACATGCCCCCATTCCCTGCAGGCTGTAGCCATCCTCCTCACTTTTCCAACTTGCTCTGTCATTTCCATACCCTCACCAGTATCTCTCCATCCTCACCAAATGGTCACTGAAACACAAAGGCATGGGCTGATCACAGACTCCTTGTGTGACTTCTGACACCACTGCATCACCCTTTGAGGGACATTTCTTCTTCACCTTCAAAGTTGCACTCTGTGATGGTTGACCTTTTTCTTTCTGTTTCCTATTGCAAGGAAAGGTCCACCATCTCAGAAGCCACACCTCAAGCAGATGTCCCAACCCATTAACTTTCTTGTGCTCTGTCTGCTGACCCGACAGCAGTTGTTTCACCATCATCTTCCAAGCCATATACCTGTCGCTCAGACAGACATGATCAAGACATACATCTATCCTGCTGCACGGCAGTTAGCATGGGTGAGTCCCTGCAAAGGGGAAGAAACTAAGCTAGCTTTCAACCCTGAGGTGACAGACTGTAGCAAAGTACAAGAAAAGGGAGGCTGGATTCTTTTCTGTGCTCAGAGAGAAGTGCCCCTGTACAAGGGAGATGGGGCTCTGGGGATGGAAAAAGGAGAGGTGAAGTGGAAAGGACAAGGAAAGGACAACCACATTAAACTGGACCAACCAATTGGTACCTGTAATAGAATCAGTGACACCAGAAAAGTGTGAGGGGTGTAAGTAATTGGAGAGTCCTTAATGAGAGGACTGAAGCACCTGTTTGCCACTTGGATGAGCTACGGGTGTTGCAACAGTGTCAGCTCCACCAGATGCAGCTGACTGAAGACATCTGTCACCAGGTCCTCCTCCTGGGGGCTCTGAGCACCCCAAAATCCCATGCCCTCCCTGCCTCACCTCCCCCCCCTCACAAAAAGCTGCATTTCATCATGGGGAAACCTTTTTTCCCACTTTTTCCCCCAAAAAACCAACCTCATGCCACTGCTTTCTTCTTGGCAACACCCTACCATGGAGTTGGGGTGACGACGGTGGTCTTGGCCCACCCCCCAAATTTCAGTGTGGGGGATATGGGGGGGACATGACACGAGTGTGGGTTTTGTGGAAAGGGCTTTGGGAGTGAAAGTGCCTGGCAGATCCACCTGAGGTCCCACATGGGTGAACGGCTCTACAGCTGTAGTGTCTGTGGCAACCAGTTCACCATGTGTGGCAATCTGAAGGTTCACTACCACCAGCATAGACAGAAGGTCCCCCACCTAGCTGTGAGCCCCCAGACCACCAAAAGGGGCCAGTTGGCCTTCAGCAACACCCAACTGGCCTCCAGCAACACCCAGTTGGCATCCAACAGCTTGTCAACACTCAGCTGGCCTCTGGAAACACCCAGTTGGCCTCCAGCAACGCCCAGATGGCCTCCAACAGTGTGCAAGAACTTGTCAATACCCAGCTGGCCTCCAGCAACAATCAGTTGGCCTCTAACAGCATGCAACCACTTGTTAACACCCAGTTGGCCTCCAACAGTAACTCCAGCAACACCCAGGAGGCCTGCAGCAATACCCAGGTGGCTTTCAGCAACATCCAGTTGGCCTCCAACAGTGTGCAACTGCTTGTAAACACCCAGTTAGCCTCCAGCAACAATCAGCTGGCCTTCAAAAACACATAAGTGGCTTCCAGCAACACCATCATCATCATTCAACATCATCAGCATTCAACTGAATTTTTTAACAGGCTGAGGGAGCTGGGCTTGTTCAGCCTGGAGAAAAGAAGGCTGTGGGGTGACCTCATTGCGGCCTTTCAGTACCTAAAGGGAGCCTGCAAACAGGAGGGGAATGAACTCTTTGAAAGGGAAGATAACTGCAGGACAAGGGGAAGTGTTTTTAAGCTGAGGGAAGGGAGATTTAGGTTGGATGCCAGGGGGAAGTTCTTTACAGAAAGAGTGGTGAGATGCTGGAACAGCTGCCCAGAGAGGCTGTGGATGCCCCGTCCATCCTGGAGGTGTTCAAGGCCAGGTTGTATGGGGCCCTTAGTGGCCTGGGTCCGTGGTATTAAAAGTGGAGGTTGGTGGCCCCGCATGTGGCAGGGGGTTGGAGACTGATGATCCTTGAGGTCCCTTCCAACCCTGGCCATTCTGTGATTCTGTGACAATCTAGTGAGGTTTGAAGCTGCCAAAGGTCTGCATATGCAACGTCAAGAAGAGGTCATCATACCTGATAAAGCTGGAGAGCTACTATCCATTTCTATTTTCTCAAGTTGGGTTGAATGAAGCTGCAGTGAGGACTACAAAATATATAAAAAGACATCATGTACCATGGAAAGATGTTGAAGAGTTGGAAACCATAGAGCAATTAGAAAAAAAATACCCAATTGCTCTCAAAGAAACATGGGAGGATGAATCACACAACTGCAGCACTGCAGTTGAGAGCTACAGACACTTTAAAAGAGATAAGAGGGAAGGAAGAGGGGAACTGTTGCCCTGTATGTTAAGAAATTGATAGATTGCAAAGAACTGCCACTGAGCAAATCTCAGGCTGATTAAGGAATTATTGGATGAGATCCCCTGGGAAACTGTCCTTAGGGACATAGGAGTGGAACAGAGCTGGCAGCTCTGTTTAAGGACGCCTTTCAGAGAGCACAAGAGCTCTGAGTATAAGAAATCAAACAGTGGAGGCAGGAAAGCAGCATGGCTGAGCAAGGACCTGTTGGTTAAACAGAGCGATGAAAAGAAAATGGACAGGCAGTGGAATGAGGGATGCATGGCCTAGGAGGAATACAGGGATACTGTCCA